AGATATCTATAGATCTTATAAGATATACGAACCAGAGTCCTGGCAGGAGCTTTATTGAGCTCCCGACGGCGGCAGCTCCTCTGCTTGAATCAGTTTCTAAGTTTGTTGTTACAAAAAGCTATATTGATGAAATGGGGCAACTGTAGCTAAACACATGGGAAAGTGTGTATGTGTGTGTGTGAGAGAGAGAGCGGGGTGGAGCAGGCTAAGTGGATTATTGGAATTGCCTGTTGCTGTATCAGAATTGTTACTTTTGGTATTTGTCACCATCAGCATATTCTTTCTTGTCAGAAATGAATTCAAAAATGCTGGATTTTGAGACCTTTCTCCCAATGTTACAACATATTGCACGATCCAAGGACCAAGGGACTTTTGAGGACTTTGTGGAAGGACTGCGTGTCTTTGACAAGGAAGGAAACGGCACTGTCATGGGAGCTGAACTGCGTCATGTCCTTGCAACTTTAGGTACAGGAAGAAATTTAGGCCATAGCGTGTTGAAGGGAGTAGAGCATCTGTAGAATTTGTGACAAGAATTATGTTTTGGCAAAATTTGACCTTCCAGAATAATTAGCATTTAATCAACCTGTCTGCAGTCTTTCAAATCATCCATATGTTCATCCATACTTCAGCATGTATGCACTATATAGCACACTGCTATGATTAGTTCAGACAGTGGATTTGAATTTAAAGCAGGCTATTTTTTGTGACGCTTCCACAAGTACCATGTGTGAGTCTTTATAGTAATAATGTGTTGTGAACTGCCATTTCAGGGTTTATCCCCCGCCCCCAGCTGATTGTGCAAGATCAATACCTATAATGAGGCCCAAATGTTAAAGTGAATATCAGTAATATTTTATACTAAAGAAACATCCCTGGTCCTAAAAATCCAGAGTAAACTTCACTTCGCAGACATCAACCTCTGAACTTGGATGATTGTGGAAGCAGAGCAGCCCATATGGAGCTGGAAGACATTTCTGTATTACTTGGTTTTCTAATTTTCTCCATTTTTGTCACAACTCTCATTCATATGTAAAACAAGTGGAACATTCATTTCTTGCAAGAATTCATTCTCTCATTTGGCAATTCTTTTGTGGCTACAGTTATTTCTGGGATTATTGTTGCACTGCATCAGGAGCTACTTATCACAGGATATCATTGCATAACTGGAGGCTTCTGCTGTGCTAAGCATCTGTCTATATCACTTGTCCCTGACTTCCAGAATACTTTTGTCCATGTTAGCTAGACATTCTGTGATTTACAATCAAACAGATTTGGAGATTGCCAGATTAAGAAAGGCTATTACATTTTATTTAATATTAACAACCAGATTTATTATTTAAGTAGTTTCTATTTCTGCTGCATTCAGAGATACATACTGAAGCAAAATTAAACTCACTTGATTTCTATTGTACAGGTGAGAAGATGACAGAGAACGAAGTTGAACAATTGATGGCTGGTCAAGAAGATGCCAATGGCTGCATCAACTATGAAGGTATTCTAAGTGGATAAAGCCCACTTTAAAAAGTCTCTTTAAAAGAATCCTTTGCTCTTGTGTTTATAGATAGAGCTGCTGCTAAAATTGCCTAATGCTGCAAAGTTTCTACTGCTATTTTATTTCGTAGAAGTCTGGGTATAAATCAGTCAGGAATAAACATTGGCCCCCTGAAGGAAATAGAACTGGAACAATGTTGAAATGTTTGGGTGGTTGAAGTTACCACTAAAATAAAAATTGGTACTGCAGTCACCTAGCTTTCTATGAATATGATTGAGTAGGCTTTCCACTCCATTTGGCTGCTTTCTGTTTGGGACATAAGGACTATCCCTGTTAGTGGTAGAGTTGGAATGGCCTGAGAATTTGAATGCCATTTAACTTCCTATAAAAAGTAATTCTTAAAATTAGGATCAAAACTTCTTTTTCAGTTACTTACCTGCACTGTTTTTACAGCAGTCATCAATTTGGTGATCAAAGGATAGAATTTGGGGTGGGAGGGAGAGACGTCAATACCTGTTTGAGAGCCATGGTGGCACGGTATTGCAGGCTAACTCTGTCAGCAGTTCGATCCTGGCCAACTTAAAGTTGATTCAGCCTTCCAAGGTTGGTAAAATGAGGACTCAGATTGTTGAGGACTATATACTGATTCTGTAAACTGCTTAGAATGGGCTGTAAACCACTATAAAGTAGTATATGGTATTGTTATTGCTATCTACAAAATGTTTGCTATCTACAAAAATTTGCATATTCTGGGCAGCATACAACACAGCAAGAAATGTAGAACAAAAACAAACATTCAATTGTGGTCTACGTATGTGTAAAAATCTTATGTCAGTTTGTAACCTTCAATTGGGAAAAACTGGAAGGGTAATTACTGTTAAAACAAAGTAATTTAAATGGGATAATTTACAGACTGCCAGGACCCACATGACCAAGAATGAAATTTGGGGAAGTGGTGGCCACTTCAGCATTTACTAAGTTTTCCAGACTCTCCAAAAACCTGTAGGTTGAATGGCACAAGGGAAGAAGGGAGAACTGTTTTCCTGACCTCTTTCCATTTCTCTGGGCCCTGTATCAAATAAGCCAGTAGCAAGACCTTACAGATATGATTGGCTGCTTTGGAACAAAGACTGAAATTTCTTAACTGCAGCAGGCAGTAAGGGAAGGAGAGGCTTAGATGCCTGCTAGCAAAGTTATAGATGGATGAGGGATGCTGGTGTTTGATGGATGAGTTCTTTTCCTCCCTGGGGACATGCCAGAATGGGAAATTGGGGTACTTTCTTTATTCCCCATCCCCCCTGCAAAGTGGCAGGCATTTTCACAGGTCAGCTGAAGAGGAGGAAGACTGATTTCCAAGCTCCCTGTCAGTGTCCCATTTAAATACTGTATATTGATAGAAATGTATGAATTATCAATTTATGTTGAATTAATGTAAGAAAAAATATGCTTTCTAGAATTGCGTTATAGTTCAGACCATCTGGAACTCTCTTTCAAATCCTTCTTTAAAAAAAAATTATACTTAAATGATCTAGATTAGGTGAACTGAATTTTTAAGGCTCTGCACTATAATAAGACTTAATACTTGACTAAATCTTCAAAATATTTTTTATTATTAGAATATCCTTTCTGATAATCTAGAGATTAACCTGCATTATTTCTAAATTCCTCATTTTATTTTCCTCAGCTTTTGTCAAGCATATCATGTCTGGCTGAAGCTAGAATCTTTAAAGTGAGTCCTTTTTCAATATTTCTTATTTGAATTGTTGTATAGTATGATTAGGAAAATTTCTGGCATATATTATCACTTTCATTAGTTCTGAAAGTAGGTGTGGAAGATGATGCTAATGCTAAATATTTTAACATTAGCAAGTCTTAAAATAGCAATGAGAAGAGGTTGGGGGAGATGAAGTTAAATAGAGAGTAATGACGTGGAAGTTTCAGGATGTTGCAAAACTGATGGTGACTGACAAAACTAGGAAGAGAATTAAGGAGTAAAAATGCAATTGAGCTATAAACAGATAAACAGACAGAAAGACACAGGGATTAATTATAAGGATTCCTTAATAGATACATTTTGCTTTGCTTTTTTTTTTTTTTTTTGCATTTTCATAAACGTCTATACAGTCATTGTACTGGTAATAGGTACTGGTAATAGGGCAACATGGCACATACACACACACAAACACATATCAACTAATAATTACAATATTACAGATAACATAAGTGTGATATTCTTTTCATAAGAAGTAAATGAATACGTTTGGGCAATTCCTCACTGAGACAAACTAAATAGAACGATGCTAATTGATTGTACTAATTGAGCTTCTAATTGACTTAATAACTATTTGTGAAATTCAAAACTGCACTCCTTTTGTGACTTTTTGAAGTGGAAGAGATGCAAAACTGGACCTTTCCAAAAGGCTGAGTTCAACAAAGTTCTACTTTGTTGCAAATATAAATAATAGCATTTGCACTATTTTATTATTATTGGAAATGATCTTAGCTCCATTGAATTAAAATATATAAAAGAAATAAAAAATCTAGTTTTTAATAATTAATGATTAATTTTACATTGGCAATTTAATAGTTTGCCAAAGTAACAAACATTTCAATGTATTTTCTTCCTGCTATGTGTTAAGCACTCTCCCCAAATTGATG